AAATACTGGAAGGAGCAATACGAGAGCTACGCGGACAAGAGCGAGAAGGAGATGAAGAAGGTCATTGCCAAGCAGCAGCTGGCGAAGAAGTTCGCTATGAAGAAGGACGGCGAAGCCACGGAACTATCTACCAAGCTCGAGCAGGAGCGCAAGCGATACAGACAACGGGAGCGAGACCTGGAACAACAAAACAAGGACCTCCAGGAAAGGCTACGTCAAGCGATGGCCGAGAGCATGTCGTCGAGCATCGAGATCGCAGCGCTGAAAGCCCGAATCACAGTCCTGGAAGCTTCAGGCTCGGTACCAACCTCTGAACTTCAACAGAACAAAGCTCCATTCGAGATATACGAAGATGCGAACAAGGACAACCCACGATCGCCAACGCGTGGCTTAGATATGGATCCTGAAGTGTCATTCGCCCCCAATAACAGCATGGCTTCGTCTACCAAGGAGAACTCGTCGCCCAAGCCCCGCCGTCACCGTCGTGGTACGATCCCTGACACTTTGAACCGACCAGTGCTCCCGTCTAGACTTGGAACAGCAGAGGGTGAAGCCTCTATCATCTTAGGCCGATCGCCTCGTGCACCGGCACGCCCGTTCGAGATCACTCTGGAGAAAGCGCTTGCACAGCCTCAGCAAGAGCAACCGCAGAGATCGCCACTGAAGATCCGCAGGCCAGTCGCACCTGATGAGAATTATGCGCCAAAGTCTCCCGTCGCGATCCCACCTTCCAGTCCGTTGCCTGTACCATCGCCAGGTCTTGATCCATGGATGGAGATCAACAACAGTTCGATAGCGCAAATGGACAAAATGGCTCTACCGGTTTCTACTGGTCAGCCATACTCACGGCCCGAGTGGAACCCACCACCAAAGCAACATCGAGTATCGAAATCTGTATCGCACGTAAAGTCGACAGAGACAACCAAGTCAAACGAGAAGGTTACGGTTCCCGACCACAAGGCTGAACCCACAAGACGCAGAGAACGTGCTACCGAGAAGGCGACACACGTCTCAGAGCTCGAGGCAACCTCTGTCCCATCGAAGAAGGACGAAAGGCAAAAGCTGGACGAATCCAAAGCCAACGCGTCATCTCATCATGCTCCTACCGACAACAAGTTTGACCTCTCGAAAATTACAGCACACCATGCAGAAGGTTCTGCGCAAGTGAAGCATGACCGAAGCCAAATGTTACCTGTTGACCGCAAAGAGCAAGCAAGAAGAAGACTTGAAGAGAGAAAGAGGCTGAGGAAGAACGGTACTACGATTGTTGGTTCTTGATCGTTCACTGGCGTTTTGCGTAGGAGTGTGTTGCGTCTTTTGTCTGAGTAATCAATATGTTCAAGACATATGTTATCGGAGTATGGTGTTGCCCTGAGCATTGGATTCTGGTTTATCGCACGATACCTTCACATGCTTCATCGTTTACAGCATTCAGTTGAATATCCATACATTGTATTGTTGCTTCTCATGCAGAGCGCTCTACCGTGTCTCATAGGGTATCGTCCCAAACGCCTTAGAAATGCTTCATCGCCCCGTGCAAAGATCTTACTTCTTACCTGAAGCAATATCCTCCAAAGCTTTATACACTGGTATAGTAGTCTTCTCTAACTGCGCCCGCTGATACGACGTCATCTTACCTAGCACATACTTGCTCACCACATTGGGATCCCTACTCTCGGGCCTCCCTATCCCAACGCCCACTCTCCACCACTTTACGCCTCCAAGACTTCCCTGACAGCTCTTGATACCATTATGCCCTTTCGCGCTCGCGGCACCGTCTCGAATCGTAACCTTCCCCAACGCAGACTCAAGCTCATCATGCACAACAACCAACCTCCCCTCTAACGTGGCACTCCCGGAAGCCTGCCGTATACCGCGCAACCACTCACTATACGCCTTTTTTACTGAGCCCCCGCTTATGTTCATCAACGATGTGGATTGCCAAAATGTCCAGTCGTCCATTGCGTCTTTGTCTGTCGCTACTCTCCGGTAACCGGTGAGGCCGAATGCCATATGTGTAGCTGGAGGTTTTGAGATCAGACCTGACATGCCCTTTTGAAAGGGACCATAGCGCTTTGCTTCTGCGAGGGCTGAGGTGACGATGTGGCCAGCGGAGTGGAGCGTGTTGGCGTAGGTTGCGCCTGGGTTGCCGATGGAGGCTATGAGGAGGGGGTAGGCGGTTTGCGCGGCGGGTTTCGCCATTGAGGGCGATCGTGGTATGAACAGGGACGAATCGTCGGCTTTGGCAGCAGACTTTGGGTTCTGCTTTGGTGGCTTGTTCGGCGGGTTGCGGGGTTGGTTTGTTGGTGTCTCGGTGTCGGAATGTGTGGGCGTAGGGAGGGCGGAGTCGTGCCTTTGCTTCTCTTGTTTGCGCTCTTCTTTGCGAAGCTGCTTGCGCTTCCTTCGTCTTGCGGCTGCGGTTGTGGGCTCGTCGCTGCTGTACTCGCTGCCCTCCGGTGCTGAGGTTTGGACATTTTCTTGGGGATCGGCGGTAGGGATTAGCGAGCTCGCCACGTGCGCACGTGTGCTCGCGTCTGACATGATAGTACAGGAAATGGTTTTTGGAGAGTTGATGGCAAGAACATTATGCGGGATGTTCGGTCATTAAACCAAGCAGCACTGTGTGCTGGTCCACTCTGTGAAGAGTGCCATGGTTCGTCATGACAGCCGCTGTGAATTGTGCCGCTCACAGCCACACGTAAGAGTCATAGGGGATTGCTAAGGGCGCAGCATGGCAAACCGCCCTTTTCCGGATGCGACAAATATGTCATCATGGAAGATTGGAAACGATTTTGCAGACTTCATTAGCATGTGGATAGTGATTTGAGACGCGCATCGGAAGGTACAGATCGTGAGATCTCTTGGCGTACATCATTGCTCAGGAACAAGGGTCCCGGTTCCGCATCGCTCTAACCCCGATGACACTCGCCACTTGCGCGCCTCTAGCTCTCCTGTCAGGCAACTCTTGACTGATTCACTCGAGTACGAGCAAGCGTACCACAACCACATCTGAACCCTCCCATCATCTCGACATGTCCGGACGACCATCAACGCCGCCACGAGCGACTCGCTCAGCGGGCAAGCTCCCGCCAAATCCGCCCACGCCAGAGCAGATCAGGCGCATGGAAGAGGCTCGTCTGAGGGCAAAGGCGGCTGCACAACAGACACAAGCTTCAAAACCTTCACCAGCGCCGGTCGCAGGTGCGAAGCGCGCATACTCGTCCATCACTGCCGCGCAAACTCCAGCCACCCTTCGTAATGCGGCTGCAGCATCCCCTCAGAAGCGCGACCAAAATGGCTTCATACAGCCACCCTCGAACGATTATATCCAGCCGGCGAAGAAGTACGCGAGATCAGACTTCATCGACTACGACTTCAGCAAAATGACGGACACGAAGGGTGGCTTCCTGAGTACCGTAGACGACCCGCACAATAAGGCTATGCGGAAAGGGCAACAGAACGAGGAGCAGAAGCCAGAGGGCGTATCAATGGTAGAATGGGAAAGGGAGCGCATAAGACGGAAGCTCCGCGCCAACCGAGCCGGACCTTACGAGCCGGGTATCTCAATTTTGGACACCGTCAATGGCAAGGAAGAAGAAGACGAGGAAGCTGCGCTGCTCGAGGCTGCTGAAAACGCCGAGATCGAAAGCGGTACATTCAAAGGCAAATACGGCGACGGCAAGCGCGACGTAAAGGGCAAATGCCGAGAATGCAATAGTCTGGAGATCGACTGGAAATGGCAGGACATATTTGGCATTGGCGTATGCAGTATCTGCAGGGAGAAACTCCCAGACAAGTACTCCCTACTCACCAAAACCGAAGCGCGAGACGACTACCTCCTCACCGACCCCGAACTCAAAGACGAAGAACTCCTCCCTCATCTCGAACGACCGAACCCACACAAACAATTCTTCCACCCCATGCAACTGTTCTTACGACTGCAAGTCGAAGCCTATGCCTTCAGCCCCCAGAAATGGGGTTCGGCAGAGGCGTTAGATGAGGAGTATGCGAAGCGACAGGTCGTGAGCAAGGAAAGGAAACAAAAGAAGTTCAAGAACAAGCTCGAAGATCTGAAGAAGAGGACAAGAGTGGAAGCGTATAAGCGGGCGCGGCTAGCAGGCGATAACGGCGATGCGCAGTTTGGGCAGAAGATAAAGGGAAGATATGACAGACATGAGCACGAGTGGGGCAGGAGTGTGCTTGACCCTGAGACCGGTATGACAAAGAAGAGGTGTGAAGAGTGTGGGATGGAAGTTGAGGAGTTGGAGTTTTAGACAGTTTGCACTGGCAGGACGGTGCGATGCGCAAGATGATACCCCATATATACGCGTTCTTCGCAGGTAACGCGTTTGACTTTCCTCTCGTACCGCATGCTCAGCGTATTTAGGTACAGTGACCACGCTTAGACAGGATCGTATCTAGCGCACAGTTTGGGCCCCGCAGCCTATCACCGTCCCTCAGCGGTAGCCCCACTGCCCCTCCTTCGCTACTGCCTCACACACCACGTCTCGATCTCCATCTCGTCCCTTAGTCTCCCTTCCACGACATCCGCGTTAACCCAACAATATAATATAACAAATCACTGAATCATTCATCGAAACAACTCACGGGCCGGTAACTCAGTGGTAGAGTGTAGGACTGCAGTTGACCAAAAACCGTCTTCCCGAAGTCACCGGTTCGACTCCGGTTCGGCCCTGAATGCTTCTTTTTGACTTTTTGGCAAGCTGCCAGTGTCTTCTTTTTTGCCCATGGCGAGGGTGTCCAGAGCTGGCGCGTCGTGGTGCGTGGTTGAGGGCTGTGGCAACCTTTTTGCGCCGCGTGTGAGCATGGTGGGGCAAGACGTACATACATTTGGACACTATACGTCGCAGGGACAAACGAAAACAGGATAGGCCGCTTCATGATCCTACTACAAAAGATACGCAGCGCGTTGCCAGAGCGTTTCTTTCGGAGCGAATGCCTCCCAAATAACCTTCACTCATCGCGCGGCAACCCTTTGTTCAACACAGATAGATGTCTTCCACCTGCGAGTACTCTAGTCCTTCCATCGCTTCACCCTCCATTAGACCTAAAACAAAACATTCGCCGATGAGCTGATAATGCCCAGGTTCTGCATCTGGTCGGACTACGAAGGGCATCTCGAGCCCAAATAAGATGACGATCTCGTCTCTGGGCTGTGCGTCAGGATATACGAGGCCCATGAAACCAGTCGTGCTCACGAAGCACTGGAAATCCGAACTTTCCTTTCCGTCGTTGGCGCGACATTCGACCTGTTCTAGCTTTCGGTTGATGGATTCTGGGACTTCGAGTTCGATCCTGCCATGCATCCTACGAGAGATTGGTTCGTCTGTCTTACCGTTTCCCATTGTAGACCTGACTGCAGCATTGTCTTGCCCCAAATCACAGTCCGGAGGAGTTATATCACCTTTGATATACGACCAGACGCTAGTGCCTTGCGGCAATACTTGATCATCTCGCCGGGGATGTATATGCGCGCTCGCGACATAAGAATATGCGTGCTGGGTAGACAGCGTTGTGTTGCAGTACATGGAATGTGATTTGTCCAGAAGGTCATAGTAGTCGCTGAACGAGTCGTTGCCACGGCGTGGGATAAAGCTTTGAATCGTTAAGACGCGTACTCCCTGAACCCGTAAGCAAGGACCTTTTTCCGATCTGCCGACGTGCTCATGTCGGGCGAGAATGGTCGCGTTTGATGCCCTCCCTTTCGAGACTGACGAACCGTTCGCCTGTAGGCATCCCATGAGTAGACCTGATGATCTTGGCAACGCTTCTGTCCAGTTTGGGATCCAAGAAGGCGAATATTCTCCTTGTGAGGTAATCCGAGCGTGTGGCCTCTCCTGGTTGGTTGTCGCCACTGAGCCAGCGTCTTGGAGAAATGTGATGTTTGCATGAGCTCCTTGGACTTCCATGCATGCAACGCAGGCAGAGAGATACACCTGTAGAACGGGAAGGCTGTAATCCACTATGAGACCTGGGCTGGCTATGTTGTGTCGGCTCAATAAACCCATTACCCCATAGACCTTGTCGCGCGGGTTCGTGGCTTTGCGGGGGCGAATGATGCGCAGGATATTTGCACTGCGAGCAGTCAGAACTTACGCATCATCGTTGATGCAGAACCCCCACACGGATTGCACGGAAGAGACTTACAGGGTTTTATGATATGTAAGCTCCCTGCCACATGTTGCCTTACTGATCGATCCCGACTCCATGTAAAGGTTACGCAAGACATCGAGTTCTGCAATTCTTCTGCATTCTACCAGAAAATCGCAGGTATGCGCTTGGAGGCACGCGCTAATAAGTTTCTCCCATCTCAGCGTGTTGGGGCCAAAATATATCACTGCCTCTCGAGCCAGAATCAGCTCTTGCAGAGTCCAGACGCGCTCAAACCAGGGCAAGCGCATCACGCAGTTAAGAGCATCGGTACAGGTCTTTGAGATGTGGAACTCATGTGTAGGTGGTAATTTCCATGGCAGCCATTCCTGTCGATCCTCAGAGGCTGCATCACCAAACGATCCGTTGTTGAGAGCTTCGAGAATCTCGGCCTCACGACCCTTCCAGCTGTTGAGCTTATCAATTGCCGTCTCAAGATCTTTGGCTAGATGGATTCTACATGGTGGGCACCAGATGATTACTCTCTCCGCTTTTGAATAGATTCGATCCATCATAGGTATTTGGAGAGACTTTTCTGCGTTGTCGCTTTGGTTGATGCATATTGCGTCGATCCAGAGTAAGCGCCAACCTGTCGCAGGCCGGAGGAAATGAAGGATATGAGATACTGTGACGCTGACGTTCAAAGTCGACTTATCGACGTTGGCAGGATGATGAACAGTGCTATCCGTGGCCGTGCCGATATTCTTGTTCAATTCGAGTGGCCATCCGGTTCCATGGCCCCAAGCGTAAGACACCGTCTCGTATGAAGAAAGGTCATTAATTGAGGCTTCGAGCAAGTGGGCTACATCTTTGGGGTCTGCGGGCCATGCGAGGAGCCTGATGGTATCTTGTGGCCTGTGCAAGGCGCGGTACTGGTAAGTCTCATGGGATGGAGGCTTCTCCTCTTTCGACAGCACGTGGCATCCTTCGCACAATCCATCATCTTCTTCTCCTTTTGGCACGAATGGTGAGCCTAGGATGGGGAGAGTTGATTCGAGGCACTGTTCCGTAGCCATTGTGTTGCTGTGTATCTGATACTTGACAGGGTACGTGATTGAGGATAGGACGAGGCGCATTCATGCCCATGCAAGGATTTGAAGGGGCGTACATTTAGAGAAACGATTGCCTACCATGTGATGGTGGGTTGGCAAATGCAGTCACATGCGATATCAAGCGCGGGGTGGTTTGCGGCACAGTCGTGGCGACCAGGGTGATGTCGGAGGCTAGTACTCTTCTAATCCTATGGTCGGCTACTCCCTTCGTTAAGCAATGTTTAAAACCGAATGAGGCGACCTCAAAAGTTCAACTCATAGTAACGTTCGCGATACTTTGGGCCCCCGCTGGTGACGACATCTGGAAGAACGTGCCGAAAGACGCACAGCCAGTGACCAGAACGTCACCACCTTCGGCCTGCGTCTTCGCACATCGGGTACATGTCGGAGACGATTTAGCGATGCGCATGTCGATGGGAACGGTGTCGAAGATGAGAGGAGTTGCACAGCATCACCTCCGCCATGAGCTGGAAACCATCTCGTCCTAGCGTCGGATTTAACTAGACACCATAGCCCCGGAGCATTACAACACGAAGCCACGCCCACGTCAGCACACACCTGCATCTAGACGCCGTTTCTCCATAATCTGGTCAGCATCACATGATCGTCAGACGTGTATATCAATCTATAGTTCGACCAACTTTCATCGGCACCGCACAAAACTCATCATTCTACCGACTGCGTCCGAGATTCTACACGTCCGCAATGTCAGCCATCCCGATCGTAGTCTGTGGCAGGAACCCAAACATCGCAAAGGCTGTTCGCAAAGGCGTGGAACCAGAATACGACGGTATGCCGCGATACTTTGCGCTAAACTTCACACATACGTATCCAACTAACACATCCATCCAGTAATCCACATCAACCTCTCCGTCGAAGAAGCAATCATCTCCATCCCTCACATCATCTTATTCAGAACACCAGCCAACCCTACCCCCAACATCGGCTCCATGAACTACGGCCAGCGGCCTGCTGCTGTGGCTCTTGGAGGCGGCTTCAACGACGAGATGTTTGCGCAGATTAAAGCTTCTTGTGGGGATGAGAAGATGGTTTGGGTGCGCACCGATATCACGAGGAAGGAGGAAATGCCGGATTTCAATGAGCATGAGGCGTATGGGAAGGCGACTGCGCAGCGGTTGAAGAAGTGCTTGGATGAGTTGAAGGTTGGGAAGGAGGGTGGGGAGACGGAGGGGATGTACTGGTTTTGAGGTTTGAAGTGCACTCGATGCGTGTGGATGCAGATTGATACGGCGGTAAGTAGTATGATTATGATTTACGAAACTCTCAGGACATGAACAGGTGCAAGAGCTCTTTCTGTAGGAAGTTACGGCACCGTTGCGAATCGTCTTTGGAGAAAGTATAATTTGAACGTTGATCGGGTCCTTTTATTCAAACAACAGCCGAACATGATCAACAGAACGAATCCATGGGAGGGAGGTCTAGTACTTTTGGTATCTGAGAGTTGGAAGTAGCTCTCGATGTAATCTTCTTTACAACCGAAAGAAGATTTTATAGCGATATTCCTGCAGACGTTCGACAACCGCAAGCATGCAGTTGCCCTATCCGCATTTTTCGACATCCAAGAACAGGAATTTTGTCGTGAATGTTGCTGACTCTTATCACACCGAGAAGCTCAAACATTTTCAGGTCATGGAGAGACACAATCCAAGTTTGAAGTCGTAAGGCCAGAAGGCGACATCGTACATCGTCTGGCGCATTTCCAGCGAAAGAATCTCATGCGGCGTCATATTTTAGTTTTTGGTGGAGAGAAAGGGATAGTGATATTGAAGAGGGACGGACTTCATCGCGGAAATGGGAGTACTTTATAGCTGCACAGAGCCATGAAAAGCATAGGTCCAAAGATTGTGATCACGGCTAGCTGACCTTCTCAGCGATCCGCCGGCACATGTCTCAACGGTATCAAGGTTTTGTTCGAGAGGGCCAAGTCATGTACCGGGCTTACACAGTTTTTATGTGCAGCCCATAAGAGGAGTAAATCATGAAGTCGAGTTTGCGAGATTTTGGTGGGAAAGACTGGGTCTCATGCAAGCATTTCGTAAATGTTTTGGAGAAGCAGACGAGCAGTCCATCGAAACCGGCGTTCGCGTTTTAGAAGTAATCCGTAAATCGTTACTGTAGAGAAGGAGAGAAGGTCAATGTTGACGTGAGATTTTATATGTCTGCCCCCAAGAGTAGATTACAGCCGCATGTGTCTGCTTCTATGTCGGGAGCTGATGGTCTTTTCCGGTCAGAACATGTTCTCTTTGTCCTCGTCTTTTGGGTAATTCTCACATGCGCGCGCACTCGAAACTTTTCTGACAAGACAAGAGGGGGAAGCGAGCAAGGTAATTTGAAGGCGGGAAAGCGAGGCAAAGACATAGCGCTTTCATTGTGGAGTTTTGTTACAAAAGAGGAGGGGAAAGCACAGACATGGGATGCGTCAAATATGGTTTTTGAAGAATGCACAACACCCAAGTGTGCGATGAGAGAGAGAAGATAGTGTGTACAAAAACAAGAGTATTTATACCCACTAGTGTAAGGAGCCGTTCGAAAGGACTGCGACAATCACATGATGTAAAGATGCGCGTCTCTGCACAACGTTGTTTTGTCGTCTTTTTACCACCAGTCTTTTATCCCTCATGCTCTAACCCAGCCTCATCTTCGGTATCGACGAAAGCCCAGTAGACTTTGCATTTTGACTAGAGAGGACGGCAACAGCACAGACACATATTCCAGATCGTTTTGGATTTTGATTTCAGCTCGTCTTTCATGTCTTTGTTTGTTCCCATTTTTGGACGGAGGAAGAGAGAAGAACACATCCAGTGCTTTCCGAAGTTGTTTGGACAGCAAACATTCTTCATTGACTTCGTAATTTTGGTACTTCCGCATTGCAGAATAGGTGGTGGAAAGAGTCGCATACGCGATGTGTAGGATATTTATGAGTAGACCAAGCTACTGGAAAGCGCAGGTCATTTGCCGGTGATTGAGGCCTTTTGGACAAGCGCACAGGAGCATAACTATTTCGGATTGTATATTTGGACATCCGGACCACCTCTAAAGGTTTTTCGGAAGACAGGAAGACATGGCCCGCGAGCGCAGGACTTTTGGTGTATATCCTCGGGGAAATGTTGTGAAGGAAGAATGCAAGAGAGACACTGAGCGA